GCGTTGTCGTTTTGGGTTGTTTGTGAGGTTTGTTGTTTTTCGTTTAGGTCGTGAAACGGGATCCTCTTGTTGTTGGCCAGCCATGTCTGGGACTTGTGAGACCCAGGCAGGTCTGTCCCCAGATACTTGAACCGAAGCATCTTTGACTGTGACATTGTCAACCGACGCCTTACCTCGAGTTACCTGTGCGTAAGAGGGTGCAGCAATGTCTGCACTCTTGACTATCATCCTGGCCTCGGAGAAAGAGACACTTTGGGTATATTTAACCCGCAATATCTCTCTCTTTCTCTCTCGGTTCATGGTAGGGTAGTCTTGAGAAGAGGCAGCGTGCTTCCCCTCACAGTTGACACAGCGCAGGTTGGCGATGTCACAGTCACTTTGTTTGGTGTGACTCACGGCCACAATATACCCTTTCGGGATAAATCATGCGCATATCGCACTTGGATTTTGTTGATAGAAACAAAGATGGCGTCGCGCGAAACTTCAATGCAAACAATACCACCACTGTCGCTGAATACGAAACAAATCCCTAGGCCAATTATCAGCGATCATGATCTGCCACCGTATGAATATGTTAGTTACTCTTTGTTATCATTAGTAACATCTTATGTCCAGTTCAATGATATATATCAGTTCATGATTGAACGAAAGAGACCTGCACTGACAAATATAGAAGAAAAAAAAACAAAGCGTACGGCCTTTTCGGACCATTTCCAGGCCGGAGACGTGCAGGACATAAAATAGTCACAAGTCAGTATTTGTCTATTCTAATGATTACTGATGCAGTACACACTGCACCATAAAACACGTCCCGAAAACGTAGACTTTTTAGAACTATCCATCAAAGGAATTTTCTATCATTTTGTTTCCTGTTTCACCTCAGTACTTTGAACAAAAGAGGAAGACATTTAATTTCCTAGATATTGTGTGAGTTCTAAGGTTTTCCTTTTTTGAATATGCTGAGGATGTGATGTAAACTATAGCTAAGGCCAGACAAAAAACATGATCCTGTAATATGTTGGCAAAATTTGGGGTTGTTAGGTAATAATTCCTGTAGGAATTCTAGTTATCTAAATCATAGATTTATCGTTATAAATCTCTGATTTAGATAGAATTCCTACAGGAATTAGTCAGGTAACAGATTTTATTGTAACAAATAATTATATATAGTCAACTATATGAGAGTGATCTTGACTTAACTTATTGTTTCTTTGAAAATTTCCTTATAGAATTAAGGATAGGCACAACTAATTTGGGGAGGACTAGATAGGGTTATCAAGGATTTTTTGTTTGGCCTAAGGTAGTCTTTAATATTGATTTTATAACTAAATTAGCATACACCATGTCCTACTTTTTACCCTGTATTTATATTTGATATGTTCCTTAATTAAACATGATTTATTTTGGTGTTTTACAATCAAAGGTTGATACAGGTTTCACATACTGTACAGCTTTAATGTTAGCCACCATGAAAAAGCATGCCCATTGTCAGTGTCATATTGGGTAAGCAAAAACACTTTCTAATGATGGTAATGATTGAATAGCAATTATATTTATTGAAATTATTACTGCTACAAAATATGTTATATGTTTCTTTATGTTTTACAGACTTGCACAATGCTGTAGCCATGTTGGGGGACTCCTTTTTGCTCTCAATCACTACAACAAAGAGGTGGCACATCAGCAAAGTAGCCTTGCCTGTACATCAAAGTTGTCAACATGGAATGTGCCACGGAAGATAACCATGGGGCCACGTCCATTAAAAGATCTTAGACTGAATAAGCCAAAACTATATTCGGATGAAACTTTAAGGACTGTTTTGCAGTTTGATCTAAGGCTTACAGCGTGCAGGGCCTGTGATCCTGCCTTTTACTAGGAGAAGATGAGGGAACTTCGTTCTATATTTCTAAATACAGGTACATATAAGTTAATATACATGCACGGCTTACATGTATTGATCAACATTAAACAAGTGCATGGCCAATCATAGTTCAAATAATTTATTCAGATTTCATTGTCATTACAAATAAATTAAGTCTGCATATACCTATAACAAAAAGTAAAAGGTCACACCTATAAATTAACCACATCACTGAAGCATTGTATGAAACAATGTTATTTAAATTAAATGCAAAACTTTTTAATGAATATCATTTCAACAGAACTGTCTTAGAATGTATTTTTCCAACTTTTCACAAGCTGATATCTGTTGTCATTTCCTTGTCAGAATATAACACACTGTGTTGTATCACATAAGTAAAGACACTAATGTTGTTGTCAAACTGTGTATAAACTATTTATACAATGATTATTCAATTTCTCTTTGTTTTCTGAAAATCTAATGGCTAAATCAATATTCCAGGTATGGCACACCTTGCTATTATACCAGACAGTGCCCCACTATATCAAAAGGAGGAAGAGCTCAACACCACTTCAAATGACATGGAAGAGAAGATTAAAAAATTATATATACAACAAATACATGTTAGTGTATAACAACTCTGTAGCAGATACATAAGCTGTAATTTTAAAAATTATGAAGTGTTTTGCCTCGTGATCTTTCAATTTTTAAAATTAGAGTGGTGATTAATGATAAGAATGAAGACCTTGAAGGGAAAGTGAGATGTTTATACAAGAGAGATACTGATTTTTTTGTTACAATTTATTTTGATAAATGACTACAGATATTAAAGATAAATCTAAATGTAACTACTGGACTGGGTCGATCTTCACCAACCAAGTAACTCAATTGGTGGAGCATTTGTCGAAGAGTTCGGAGAATCTCGGGTTCGAATCTTGGTTTAGCAGTACATTTCTCTTACTCTTATTACACAAATACTGATATTGTTTTAGTGGCATTTTTCTGGTACAAGTAGGTAGATTTAAATGATGATTAAGAACTTTCTATAAGAACCAATGCTGAAATTAATTTTAATTTATTTATTTTGATACATTTTGTTTTAACTATTTTTAAATGATTACCGTTTGTTGTAAAAATCTTTCAATCAATTCCTACAATAATTGATAAAGAGCTAAAGGTGTATTTGGAATATAAATACAAGCCAACAAAAACAAAGTGGTCTATGGCTGGATCTTCACAAGGGAAGGATAACAAGCTCTCGCTTTGGTGATGTGCTGACATCTGTGCAGTCTCCCAACAGCCTCATCAAAGAGTTATTGAATGGATCATCATTGAACAAGTAAAAAAAACCAATTTAACTAGTATCACTTCATGCAATAATGATATACATTTCGATTTATCTACAAATTACTTGCTTCTATCAACATTGTTAATGTTAAACAAGGAGGTCAGTATATTAGAGGAGTATTAGATATGTACACTTATTGATGTATTGTATTAAGTACATCAAGCTAACAGTCACAATCTCTAGAACATATGTTGAACTTGAAAGAGATGTTGACCAATTTATGAAATAATTTGAACTAAGCAATTACTTGAATAGCTTAATCAACTTAATCCAATTGACAGAAATATAAGTTAAGGAATTTAGTTGTTATTTTATGATGTTTTTACATATTTACAGATATAGTACATTGCCACCAGCTGTCCAATGGGGTGTATTTATGGGGCAGAGAGCCATGAAAGATTATTCATCTATTATAGAGTCCTTTGGTACTCCTGCACAGGTACAGAGCACAGGGTTGTACCTCTTACCATCTGCAGCATATTTAGGAGCCAGCTGTGATGGACGAGTCACTGACCCCTCAATGCCTACTGACTGCCATTCATGATTGATTTCACTCCATATGGCATTTTGCTGGTGTAACAATTTTGTTTTTTATATACTGCAGATATATATGATATCTGTTTATATTGTGACATGGGACATGAACTAACAGAGAAATGGCTTTTTTGAAGTGGATACAAATTATAAAACAAATCTGCTATATAATAGTACATTTGTTGGTGCAGCTACATGTAATAAGGTCACATAACCTGTATAGGTTTCATACTAAAAAGAGAACCAAACATGCAACTGGTATCAGAAGTTGATACTGTACTCGCAATAGCCAAGTCACAGAAATTACTATTTGTTATAATGTAATAATGACTGTCTTCATTTGCTAACTTTTGGAACATTATAGATAATATTGAGCTGTTTCGCATCAAAATGATTTCATGTGACATGGAAAATAAATATCATTCATGTTTATTTTCAGCATGAAAAGTGTTATATCTCTTTTTTTTCTGTTTATAAAAACCTAAATAGTTGTCTCCCCTTCCTTTCATTTGAACATTGTGCGAACTTTAATCAAGTCCTTGAAATAATAAAATTCATTGTAACTTTTATCTGCTTTCAAATTAACATATACTTAGAGACTGATCACAATACAAATAAGGTAGAAACAGTATCAAAAATTATTTACTTCTAAACAACGAGAGGAACATCTAAATTTGTTAGCCAGCTGGCAACCTGGAAGCACTTTGAAGCAATCGGTGCAAGAGATAATGGTAATACATGTACACCATCAAATGAAAAATCCTGACTCGACCAACGCTTCTCTCAACATGTATTCTAACTTAAACAATTTCTTGGGTTTCAAACAATTCATTAACAGTAAATTGACCTTTTTTCCCTTTAAAAGGTGGTATGTTTAAAATGCAATGTCTTTCTTTAAGCAAATCAGCAATTGTAAACCCCTGGTTTGCCATCATATCACCTGGTTCTAACAGGTCAAGAAGCCCACTTTCTATAAGAGTCTGTCAGAAATTCTACCACCCCAAGCCTCTGACACAAATGATATAATTCCAGATGAAGTTATACCAATTAAAAACTTGAGTGTATTATGGTGCTTGTAATTAGAAAATGTTAAGTTCTGGTTGTTTAAACTGGAAGATGTCTGAATGAAAATTTCAGTACAATCTAAAATAATACGCAAATTCTGAAAAGACTTTAATAAGATGGAGTAGTTTGTTTCACAAGTTCTTTGGGTGGGAAAACATTCATCAGTTTCAATTCTTCATGCAAAATACAGATTCAAGTGACAAACATATTAGAAAAGGTGGATTTAGAAATGGAAAACCTGTCTGCCATATCCTGGACAAAGAGTCCAATTTTAAGCCTCATCAGAACTGCCAAAAACTGATCAATGAGAGGAACTGATGTCTTCATTGGTCGTTGTCTGTCTGTTGTTGATGTGCTCTTCCCTCCCCAGAATGTCATTCTTTCAGCTTTTGGTGATAAATAGCTGCAAACAGCAAACATATACATAACAAATTTAAGATTACTGAATTTCAGTAATTGGATATAATGCTGACATGTTATACAGAATAAGTCATGTGTAAAGAATGTTATTAATACATAATAGAAAAACAATCCAGATAGACATTGACACTATCAAGTAGATTATCACTTTGGTCTGATATAGATCTAAAAAAAGGACAAAAACTATTAAATACTGCATTATTAGTGTGATCTAGATAACACAAATTGATCACGTGTAATTTAAATCTTTAAGTTTGATACTTAAAAAGGAATAGTTCAATAATGAAGAATAAATATTGTGATCTCAGGCATGTGGGATCATGATGATGAATGTACTATAAATGTATACACCACACTGAATGCATTTCTGCTAAAAAATATTAAGCCTTATACTTATAAAAAACACATACTTAAAAAGCCACAGAAAGACAGCAAATGATGGCAGCCCTGTATAGAATGTTGTAGCTTTGTCATCATCCTTTATCTTGTTTCTGCTCTTAGATGCTTAACTTCATCCTGAAGTTTATTTTCTTCACACTGCACACCTATTTAAAGAATTTTGACTAAATGTTGTACAATGCATAAAAATTAAGTGACTCGATATCAAACTAGATTGAACTGAAAATGATTGCATCAGTCACAATTTCTGTAATTATTTGGTAAAAAAATAAATTATATTGTGTACTATAGAAATTGATTTTGACACATTTTTGACTTTTGACAAATGTATTTTATTTAACTTATTTGAGAGCCTAGTATAGAGAACTTTAATAGTCCTGAACCATTAATAAACTTAACCTATATAGAAACTACATTCACCAGTTTACCAAATATTTTGATCTCTTTACCTTTGCTTTCAAACATCTCCGTATCATCAACTTGTTGTTTCTGTACTGCAGTAAGTTGAGTAACTGTGCATTGACATGGGCATATTTAGCATGCCTTTCTCTCTTTCCTTTTGGACCACTGCAGTCTCCTTAAAGTCTGAAATAGAAAGGCATGCTACATTCATTACAAACATAAAATGTAATAGGCCTATTACTTGAAAGTTTAATACAAAAAAAATACAAGTGGTGAAGTGATAGACCTGCCCCGCCCCTCCCCCGCTTATAAGTGCTTATTATTTTACCTTTGACAGATCCCTGCGAAAGCCACGTTCTTTCGTTTATCACTTTCTCTTTGTAAAGAAATAGTGATTGTGAATAATCAATATCATGCCATCCTGTAACAAAGTGTGCGGAGCACACGTAAGAATTGACCGTTGGTTGCCAACCCTTTCTGTTAATGGATCTGATCCATGATCTTCTCTTGTGTTTGTTTGTTGAAAATTTTAAAAACGATATTCCTTGTTCTTTCGCAGACGGATTTGCTCGGTTCGTACAATCGTACGCGCTACAAATTTTTACCATAGTCTTGGTAAGGTAACGTTGTCAATGTAAACAATTGCCACCCCTCGGTGTTTATGCGCATGCGCGAGTAACTGTCCCGAAGTTAAGCCGAAAGGGTCTATACTGGCAGACCGTTTTCCGTCTACATCGCTTTTCGTGATGACCGTATTTCTGACAGTTTCGGCATCGCAATGGATTTGGCATGTAGACGGAAACGTTGTACTTCTGGTATCCGATTATTAGTGTTTTGGGTATTGTTGGTAATGAGAATGTGATAATAATGAAAGTGTTTGTTCGTATGGTGTCTTTGATCCTTTTGCATGGGCATTGACGATAAACCTCTATAAGGAGGTCGCCCGACTCCATAGACTTAACGAATTTCACATCCCCAGCAAATCCCTTGATGCCCTTCCTTAACAGCAGAGACGACAACGAGGCCGTTGTTTTGCCACTTTGTGTGGAGGACATCACAAGGAATTGCGTGTTTTGTGTTGTATTCGAGCTTGCCTCGTTGCGGTTTTGAGTTTGTCTCTCTTTTTGGTTATTTTTATCTTTGCCCATGCACGTTTTTGTTTGTTTCGCGCTCTGTGCCCCTAATCGCCACGGAGCCCAACAAGGGGACACTGAGAGATACACAGAATAGTATACTCGTAAGCATATACATACTTGTATTTTGCAGAAATCGGATCATGTCTCCCTCCTATACAGAGTTTGTAAGTGATTCCGACCTTCTCAATTACCAGGATCTTCTTCCCCCAGGAATACGAGATGCAACCCACGGCAAACAGGTTGGCTCAAATTGGAGCTACTGTGAACGCCTTCTGCTACGTCGACACCCAGTGCACGTCAATCGCACTCCCGAAGTGATCATACACGCACGGAGGGCCAAAGTACCCAGCCTTCATGGAGGCCTGTAAGCGTATGTGAATATAGCTAACTACAACAGTCATGCACATTAACCTTGACTTGAATATTTTCTTAAGATAAGATTTAGGTAGGCGCAGTCAAATTGCTGTTCAGACTGTAAAGATTTACTGGAAGGTAAAAACAGGTTTACAAATAAATGAAATTAGTCCAATTAATTCCTAATACCTTGAAAATCGATAATACACTAACACAATTATTAACTAAATCATTTTTTTTTTATATTTAATACGTTTTTATTTTTAATTTCTTAATTTCTTGAAATATTGCAGATTATAGGTGATTTATTACGAGCCGTATTTAATTAAATTTCAAAGCAAAGAAAAAAAGATGTTTAACGTTTCGTCTTTTACTTACTATATTTCAGATGAAAAGCTACGATTTTTCTCAGATTCCTTTGGTTGCAGTAACGATATCAGAAGTAAAGGCGATGGCAGATCGAACGTGGGCGGAAGTTTACATACATCAGTATTGTTTGTTTGTTTGTTTGTTTGTTTGTTTGTTTATGTTTAACGGCCCATCGACGGCTGTGGTCATTTAGGGCCATGGTGATTTATTTATTTATTTTACTTTTTTAACAAACATGTGAATAGCGAAGATAAAATCAGATAAAATGGTTCATTTTAAAAGTATTCGCATTGTATGTGTAGATAATAAAAAATAATAAAAGGGGGTTAAAATAATAAAAGAGATAACGAATAGATGATATGGAATATGCGATATATATATAACGTCAAAAAGGATAAGGTGGGTTAAAAGACATCAGAGTCTATAAAATAGACCGATGTCTTTCAAATAGTTAAATAATGCCTTCGAATCCACGGAACTGAAAAGTGTTTTCATATCCGGGACTCGGAAGTAGTTATCACGAATGTGTTTAAAATCGGAACATTCTATTAAAAAATGCTCCACTGTAAATGGAGTGTCACATGCGTGGCATGAAGGTATATCTTCTCGTTTTAAAAGGTACGAATGAGTAGGATATGTGTGCCCAGTGCGGAGCCGAGCGAGGACAACTTCCTCTCTACGATCTTTCCGACTGGGAATAGATGTTTTAAGTTTCGGTTGTATCTTAAAAAGTTTGTTGTTGGTCTCCAGAGACCAGCGTTTCTGCCATTCATTTTGAATGGCTGTACGAATAGTAGGTTTAAAATCTGTGTATGGTAGTTTGATATTTGTTTGTTCGAGATTCAATGCATTTTTTGCTTCCCTGTCAGCAAATTCGTTGCCTTTTATTCCGACATGGCTCGGAATCCATAGTAAAGTTATTTTAGACTTTTTTAATATACGAGATATTCGAAGAGCAAGGTTTTGTACGATTGTGTTTTTAGGATCTCGTAACTGTAAACTCTGTAGGACAGATAGAGAGTCTGAACAAATAATTGCCTTTTTAATGCGGTGTTCATCGATATGGTCGAGGGCCAAACCAATGGCGCATGCTTCAGCAGAAAAGATGGAGGCGCCGTCTGGTAGTCGGACTGAAGTGCAAGTATTGGCAGTACAGCAGGCTGCTGCCACATACATCAGTAGGAAGTGTCTCCGGGCATGACCACATTTCTAATCGCGATCTGTCTGGAAGCGATATTGGCGTGTCCGGCAATGAGGGCAAAAGGGAAGTGCCAGTGTCCACGCTAACTACGACCAAGGTCAGGTAAGCGGAGGACTCGATGCGTGCATATATCCTAAAGGCATTGCATATGCCCAGGCAAATGTGAACATGGACCACAACTACGACACAAGTCGAGGAGTGAACACGGGAGTGGACCTCGGTGGAGTTAAGGAGACGGCCACTCTAGACGTGGACCACAACGGACACGCTACATGAGGAATCCAGGGAACGTGTCTTGGACGTAGAGAGGTAAAATCTTCCCTGCCTTATTAATCTTACAGCTTTTCAAATGACTCTTAAATAGTCTTTCAAACTTATTTTAAACGCTGCTCTTTCATAATCTGTTGAAAAGTCAAAGGAATTGTAAGGAATGAAATCTATATTGATGAAATTATGCTTTTTAAATGGTATATACATATATGTTTGTTAATGAGTATTTAATTGCTTAGAGATGATAAAACATGCAACTTGTTACATTATTTCTCTACCTGCGTAATTTTAGTTTGCATATGAAAATCCTGCATTGGCAAACACTTTTCCATCGGCTGTATGATGTTGTATTTTGTGTGAAAAATACACGTATGTGGTTGATCTACTTCTTGCAGCATCAAACAGGCCTTCCATAAAACGTATGATCAAGCTGAATAATGTTGACAAGAGATACCATACTGGACGCTAGTATTTTTGTCGTGTATTGACCTCATTCTCATGTATGCTGACTCAGAATTTTCTCATGTTTGGTGATAAAAGTGATTGACTATGTAGATGTGTGCAAGCAATATTGTAAAATGTAATTCGATGTTTGAACTGTTACGTAGAAAATAACCTTGACATTACAAAAAGTGTTCAAAACATATATTACCAATCGAATTTGCTGACATTAAGACAAGTCGTAATTTAGGTTCCACTATTTACAAAATGTGTGTTGTATTTTTCAGGCGAGTGTACATACAAACTGAGAACAAATCCATTGACTTCGTTTTTAATGATATTTATCTTTTTTTAATAAATGTATTTCCCTATCGCATTTTATTGTTTGTCTGCAAAATCTATGAGAAAAAGAACAAAACAATTCCGAGACAGGCATTTCCCTGGATATGTTCAACATGGTTTACAAATAACATAATATTTATGTGTCGAGAAGTATGTGATAGAAGATCATCCGAATTACTTATATGTTAAGACTATAATCCGAGGTATATATATGTTAGAGGATCATCTGAAATATAAAAATATATATATGCTAGGGGATCAATCGAGATGTTTATATATTTCAGTCATCCGAGATATTTAGATTTAAAAGGATGATCCCAGATACTTAAATTTTTATTGTCTTTGAGATATCTTTGTGTGAGAGGAGCATAAGGGTTACACTGTATCATACGAGGTACATCAAATAACAGAAAATTTGAGATATTAATGTCAAGAGCCTGGAGGTCATGTTCTGAAAGTGAATGATGTTTATGACATGTGGCTCGCAACTCAATTACTGGTATTTTAATAAGAGCTGATTTAAACAGAATTTTGATTCAGTGTTTTCTTGATAAAAAAGCTTGTTTGATTCTGAAATGATTCTTATAGTACAACAAGTAAGTGTTTCTATGTGACGTTTCGATGACTAGTACCGTATGTACTCCGTCACCCTCAGCAGACAATATCAAAAGATTGTTTCATATGCGACTTATTCGTTTTAAAATATTTTGTTTTTGCAATAGAAGGTATAAACATTTTAGATTTCTTGACAATTTTGTCTTTTTTGTTAATTTGTCGAAAATGCGTCAAAAACAACAAATTGATAAAATATCAAGACTCTACTGCCATGCAGCGATTAGAATGTTAGAGTTGTTCCCCTTACCATACTGTACGCTGTTACATGTAGTTACGTAGTTTCTACAAAAAGTGTATTCCTGTTGTGCAAAATAGATTACTGCATATACTTTTATAAACACTTACAGCAAAATGACATTCGAAGAATGTTGTTTAGAGTGATTCTACACAAAAACAATACCGCGAAGATTAGATAATTCTTAGATTCAGCCAACAGATATGCATTACATAAAAAGTGAAGATTCACTTATTTATTACACTTAAATTCACACCGGTATGAATGCCAATCGGTTACATTCTCAAGTAGTCGAAATGTTAAAATGTTAATTTTTGTTTGTTGAATACCGATGTTATAAAAATCACTGAAAGTTCCGTTAAATGTGGAAACATCGAAAAAGGGAGAGCAGAGCTCCCTAACACCTTCCTGTAACAGTATTGAAGTTTATCTTGTTTAAAAAAAATATAAACCACAGCATCAACAGACAAACAAGAACAGAACTACGTGTGTGTGACCGTATACCGTGTGCACATATTGCTCACATTCTACAAATATCGTCCGTACATCGTCTGCATATGGTCCGTAAGATAGTGCGATTTAGCAAATGTTAGCCAAGTTTAACGCTTATATTTGAGTGTTTGAGTGTGTGTAAGATGTGATGTG